GGGACGACATTTTTCTTTAACCTGAAGCCCTACACTGGTTTTGCCGATGGGCCGCAAGAAAGACCGACTGTTACACGCGGTTTCTGGGACCCTCAACGAGCGATCCTCATCCGCAGCGTGACACTTGGTGTCACCGGGTGTCTATTGCCGGTGTGATGCTATGGTGAGTTTAAACTTTACTTTCAATACCACCTTACAGACAGAAACAAGCTGGAAGCGCGGACGCTTTGTTTACATTCTGCCCTTTTTCTGGCGAACACCAGTAAGGGCAACGACCCGTAACGCCACTACGCCCTACACCCCCACCCCTCCCTCTACATACTCTCTCATGGACTATTTCCCCTGTCCGTCTGAACAGTGTTTTTGTTCCTTTTCGTTGGTTGTAATGTATATATGTGACTCCCTCTCACACATGTTTCTATAAATTTAACACAAGTTAATAATAGCCGGAAAGGCACATGTAAATATTTATCCCGCTGCTTCTCCCTCAAAATAAATCTCTTATTTACATTTCATCCTTTGCTTTCCCTTGTCCGCTTACGCTTTCGTGTCTCCTTTTCCTACTCTTCTCCTTCTTCCTTCTTTCTTTCATTCTCTCTTTCCACTCACTCTGTTGTTGTAAATATATATATATATCTTAAACCTTGTAAAACATTACCATCGAAAGTACCGTTTCCGCCAACAAACCCAATAGCCCAGCTTTCCTCAAACTTCCGATCCTCTCTGCCTCCCACTGTCTCTATTTCTTGTTAAAGGTTGGTGAGAAACGGTACGAATCTAGGTATCATTTTGTGCACTACCTTATGATTTTGCTTTTGTTTATGCTAAAGAAGAGATGTATCTGATGATGATTTAAAAAAAAAAAAAAAAAAAAAAAAAAAAATTGCCACAATGCTAAAATGAGAAAATTCTGGCAAAGCTTTGGTATAAACCATGGTGAATGACGAAGACCAACAAGGAGTAGCAATCACTTTGAATGAACTGTCAACAGGAACTTGGTTCTATGGGGGACATACAGAACTGTGTGATTTATAAGTCTAGTTTTGGAGCCATTTTTGGACTTCCGCGTTGTTGAGGAACGCTTTGGGGTGTTGTTCAGTCTTCTTTAGGTAGACTGACTTCAGGACTTGATAAGTACGTCACAGAGCCTATAAGGTCATCCGCGTTGTTTGAGGAACGCTTTGGGGAGGTGATTCTGTTAGCATATTGCCAAGAACTGTCAAGGGGAGTGACAAGAGATGCTGCATATGTGGTACAAGTCAGAGAACCAATGGTAGAATTCCAGCCAACAGTAAACATTAGTAAAATAAGGCAATATATTCTTA